TACAAGCATCCCTAGCCTTAAATACATAACCCCTTCATATAAATATACATGTAATACATATATACATACAAACACACACATATATACACACATATGTATTTGAGACGAAGTCTCACCATCACCCAGGCTGGAGTTCAGTGGCACAATCATGGTTCACTGGAGCCTTGATTTCTTGGACTCAGGTGATCATCCCACCTCAGCCTCTCGGTTAACGGTGAACACAGGTGCATGCCACCATGCTGGCTGGTTTCTTGCACTGTCTGTAGAGATGAGGTTTCACCATGTTGTCCCAAACTCCTGGGCTCAAGTCATCTGCCCACCTCAGTCTCCCAAAGTGCTGGGATTACAGGCTTCATCACCACACCAGACCTTCAGCTTCGTATTTCCACCTCTGGGAGTTTATTCCAAAAATAATCACGGATGTGAAAGAAGATTTAGATGCCCAGAAATTTCAGCATCTAAAATTCAGCATTTACGTTCAGGCAAAAATAATTGCGGTTTCAGACTGTGAATTTTAAATCATTATAAATAGGCTCACACACATCTTTATTAATCAAAATAGAAACCATTATAACCAACACACTTTTAAGTTTGTTTATTCCTGTGGTGTAGAATTCCATGCTTTAGGATTTGACGAACTCTTGGAAAGCGTTTTCTGCATCCTGCTAGTTGTGGAACTGTTTTCCCTGCAAAAAGGTGTGGCAATGCGGCCGGGCGCGGTGGCTCAAGCCTGTAATCCCAGCACTTTGGGAGGCCGAGACGGGCGGATCACGAGGTCAGGAGATCGAGACCATCCTGGCTAACACGGTGAAACCCCGTCTCTACTAAAAAATACAAAAAACTAGCCGGGCAAGGTGGTGGGCGCCTGTAGTCCCAGCTACTCGGGAGGCTGAGAAAGGAGAATGGCGTAAACCCGGGAGGCGGAGCTTGCAGTGAGCTGAGATCCGGCCACTGCACTCCAGCCTGGGCGACAGAGCGAGACTCCGTCTCAAAAAAAAAAAAAAAAAAAAGGTGTGGCAATGCTTGAAGAAGTGGTAGCTGGAGAGAGGTCAGGTGAATATGGTGGATGAGGCAAAATGTCACAGTCCGATTTGTTCAACTTTTGAAGCACTGGTTGTGCAACATGCGGAAGGGCATTGTGAAGAATTGGGCCTCTTTCTGTTGACCAATGCTGACTGCAAGCATTGCAGTTTTGGGTGCATCTCATCGATTTGCTGAGCATACTTCTCAGATGTAATGGTTTCCCCGGGATTCAGAATGCTATAGTGGATCAGACCAGCAGCAGACCACAGAACAGTGACCATGACCTTTTTTTTGGTGCAAGACTGGCTTTGGAGCATCTTCTCAGTCCATCCACTGAGCTGGCCATCACCGGTTGTCATATAAAATCCACTTTTTCTCGCACATCAACATCTGACTAAGAAATGGTTTGTTGTTGTGTAACATAAGGGAAAACGACACTTCAAAACAATGATTTTTTTTTCAGTCAGTTCATGAGGCACCCACTTATCGAGCTTTTTCAATTTACTTCAAATGCCGAAGGACTGTAGAATGGTCCACATAGAGTTATTTATGGCAACATCTCAAGTAGTTGTAAGAGGATCAGCTTCGCTGATTGCTCTCAACTGGTAGTTATTAACTTCTGGCGACCAGTCACTATGCTCCTAATTTTCAAGACTCTCCTCCCCTTTGCAAACTTTCTTGAACCGGCCGGGCACAGTGGCTCAAGCCTGTAATCCCAGCACTTTGGAAGGCCAAGGCAGGTGGATCACGAGGTCAGGGGTTCGAGACCAGCCTGGCCAAGATGGTGAAACCCCCGTCTCTACTAAAAATACAAAAATCAGCTGGGCATGGTGGCGCGGACTTGTAATCCCAGCGATTAGGGAGCCTGAGGCAGGAGAACGGCTTGAACCCAGGAGGTGGAGGTTGCAGTGAGCCAAGATCATGCCACTGCACTCCAGCCTGAAAGAGCAAGACTCCATCTCAAAACCAACCAACCAACCAACCAACCTCGAACCATCACTGCACTGTACGTCAACAGTTCCTGAGCCATATGCATTGCTGATACGGTGTTTCCTGTTGTTTTACAACCCATTTTTAACTCAAATAAGAAAACTGCTCCAATTTGTTTTTTTGTCTAACATCATTTTCATAATCTAAAATAAACATGAAGGCTGGGCACGTGGCTCACACCTGTAATCCCAGCACTCTAGGAGGCTGAGGCGGGCAGACCATGAGGTCAAGAGATCGACACTATCGTGGCTAACATGGTGAAGCCCCTTCTCTACTAAAAATACAAAAAATTAGCCGGTGTGGTGGCACGTGCCTGCAGTCTCAACTACTCAGGAGGCTGAGGCAGGAGAATCGCTTGAACCCGGGAGGAGAAGGTTGCAGTGAGCCGAGATTGCGCCACTGACTCCAGCCTGGTGACAGAGCGCAACTGTCCCTAAAATAAAATAAAATAAAATAAAATGAACAGCAAGTAGTAAGTCATTACCAAAAAAACAAAGCAAGAAATGCCCATTAAAATGATATATAACATAACCACATTTATTTAACAATGTAGTCCAAAATCAAATGGCAAATTCCAATAATGCAAAAACCACGATTACTTTTGCAACGACTTTCTAAGACAATATTTTGCAAAACATGTACAAGGATATTCGTTGACATATTACTGCCATTATATACACGTAAACAAGTTACATAAATTACGGTGTATTTATCCCACAACACACTACGAAGACATAAAAGATGCTTTACGATAAAATATTTCCAATGTTCCCGATGTTTTCGATAAAGAAAAATAATGGTAAGAACATGAACAAAACTAGAATATTTTGTAAAACAACACAAAAAAGACAAACCCTTTTGTATAATATTTAACTATAGTAAAAACCGTAACTACCTTTTGGTGGAGGGAAGAGATTTTTGTATTCTTCTTTGGGCTTTTTAGTAATTTCCAAATGTCCATGCATTATTTGGATTCCAAAATAACAGTTTAGACTTTGATAGTGGAATTATAGATTCTTACCCTCTAAAAAGTTCAGTAATACATTGTTTTATAAGCTCTTTTAAAAAACTTCACTCCTACGAGATCGCGCCACTGCACTCCAGCCTGGATGACAGAGAGACTGTGTCTCAAAAACAAAACAAAACCAAAAAACCTGCTTCACTCCTAAACACTCCTATTCACAAGATCTTTTCTATATAAGAAATTTTTAAATAGGCGGGGGGGGAATCTCAAAAATACGCATAATGTTTCATGATAAAAACATTAGGTACTTCAAAGTCCAGAAATAAGAACCACGAAAATGGGTAAACAAGTCCATAAGGATGTCCTAATTTTGCGATTTCATTCTAAAATATTACACCAGGGAGCTAATTACAGACTCATTTGAATCTGACCAAATAAAACATCTTTCAACTACCCTTTTTTCCATTCTAGTATTCCTTTACTAATCCACATACAGTTTTTCTAGGTGGTCCCCCGCAATTCTAAGGATTTTTAGACATTATGACTCACCTCAGTAATCACCGAGATGTTCTGGTTTTTTTCAGCACGACTGCCAAAAAACCCAGTCACTGTTAAGTCACACAATCATTTTCTAGTCTTGGGCCCCACCAATACAGCAGCAGGGTTTAAAACAGAGGTACTGAGGGTAACTATTGGGATCTATCCAGTATGACTAGGTCACTCACTAGAAATGCCAACATGCCTTTCACTTTTTTATGAACACTTTTGAGCAAAATCACTGTTACGAATAAAAAACTGATTCTGCTTAGTTGTTTTCTTACTGAGAAATCTTAGTCCACGTGGATTACTGACGATATGTCCCATTTAAAAAATTACTCCATTCTATAAAACAACTAGCCAATTTATACTCCAATTCCACTATTTAAAAATATGTTTCGTTTAACAGAATACAAAATGTTAACAGAACAAGACCAACGTCTATCTTATCGGGGACGTCCTTTTAAGATGTTTTCAGTCCCTGCACAACCAATCTTTCCTTTCAAAAAGCAGTATAAGCCTCGCGCAGTGTGACACAGACGCTTGTCTAAGGTCACAGAAGCACCGTCTGTGCTGGCAAGTAAATTCCTCAGCATCCAAAAAGCCAGCGCTTTCTCCAGTTTCCTCATAGCTTTTTCGCGTGAGGAGCACGCGGAAACCTCTACCCATGCAGAATGTTTCTAAGAATCACTTCTGACCTGTCTTAACTAAGGAGACTCCCATAGTTTGTGCCAATCAGGTGGAGAATATGGCAAGTATCCAAAGTGCACTTCCAAAGACAGGAAAGACTGCTCAGAGAGGGGCAGAATTCAGAAAATCTCTCACATTCTCGAAAGCCCAAAAAAGCACCGCCAAGAAAGACGTTTGCCTCTCCTCCACCTCTTTCTCCCGGCGGGAGAGGAAGCCTCGCCCCCATTCATCCCGCCCCTTCTCCCCACCCCGCCGCAGGGAGAACTTTTACCATGGCTTCCTGCGGCCCCTTCACTTCCGGTGCCGGTGCCGCTAGGGCTGCGCCATCCCCCCCAGTCAATCGGACAACCATAGCCTCCAACTGACCTTTCTCACAGCTCTGAGACTCCTCCGGCCAAGACTAGGTGCTGTCCTGGAGGAAACGGTGGAGGACGGACGCACAAAAACCAATCTACCTGATGAAAACTCCGTTCCCTTCTTGCCAGAAACATAAAATGCGATGGAGCTACGGCGACCGCTGCCGAGACAAAATGGCGCCGAGAACCTGGTTTAGCGCAGGCGCCTTGGAAAGACCCTGCCCCGCCCCCGTGCAAGCCCCTGGCTGCAATTCTGGGTTCCGTTTCCATGGGACACTCCGCCGCCAATCCTCGTGCCGAACTGCTCTTCCTGACCCCTCAATTCACCAATCAGTGCCCAGTCAAGCACATCCGGAGTCGTCTCTACCAATCATTTCTCAAGACTTGCTTACTCAATAACCAACTGTCCAATAACGTTGGTCTTCGGAAAAAGCCAATCATAAGTGGAAGATGTCCTACCTGCTGTTTTTCGCACCAATCCATGAAGTTTCAGAGCTACATCCAATGAGGACGGCAGGTAGCGAGGTCCTATCCGAAGCTCTTCGGCGTCATGAACAGCCAATAGGAGTTCGTGTAGAAGCGAGTCTGCTCAACAGCTTGTTATTTGGTGGATTGTGGCAGTAAATCGGGGCGAGTGGGGAACCGGGCGCAGGAACTGCAGCCGCGGTTGGGAGTGGTGCTGCCCGGACGGGGGCCCACGGAGGTCAGAGGGGAGGAGGACTCTGGAGCTGACAGTGCGCACTTCACCCGCAGTTGGTAGGCGGGGAGAGGGGAATCGGGGGATACTGAATGGACGAAGCGGCAGTGGCAGCAGCTGCTGCTGCCCGGGGTCCCGGTGCAGTTGGAAGCTTTGGAGGTGGGGAGAGGGATGCTAGGCAAGTGGCGCGGCGAGCGCAAGAGAAGGGGCCAGCCATGGAGCAGCGGCAGCAACTGCAGGAACCGCCGCCGCAGCTGCAGCCGCCTCGTCCGCTTCCCCGGGTTCCCGGGAAAATGGCTGTGGGGCTGGCCGCGCCGCTAAGTTTGCTTCCGCGCCGTGAGGAGCGGGCTGCTTGGGGGAGCCGTTCCCCAACTCCGCGGCGCGTCCACCTCTGCGGAGTCCGTGGCAGGACTCGAGGGGCTGCGAGCTGATACCTCTCTGGGCTGTACAAAAAGTTGAGGCGGGCGCTGGGAGGAGGCAGCGGCTGCTGCGGTGCGGCTCCCCTCCCCTCCCACACCCTGTCCGGGCCACCTCCCCTCCTCCTCCCCTCAG